GCATGCACATCGATGTGTATATGAAAGCCATGAGAAAAAGATTTTGACATTCATCTGATGACGGATTTTATGCCGAGGGGTAAATTTTTTTTTCCATTTTCTTTTTGCGCTCTCTATCTCTTTTTTCTTTCATCTTTTTATGTAGTCGTTGCATCCTAACTGCCATTATTGATAGATCCAACAGGCATAAGAAGGAAGAGTAGTTCAATAAGAGTAGCTCTTATTATATGCATATGATTAGACTACACTTCTGTCTCATTTGTTTTCTGTATAAATATCATACAGTATAGAAGTTAAGGAAAAGGTTATGTTTATATGTATATTAGATTAATCAAAATGACAAAAAAATTTGAATTAGATGGAACATATGTACGTAGATGCTATAAGGTTGTGATGAGACTGGATAAATTAAGATAGTTTAATTTTCTTTTCTTTATATATACTTTTAATAATCGTAACAGCAAGAGGTTGAAACCTTTTACTCATTTCCGCAATATCTTTTTACTCATTGTCACCTACAAGTCATCCAGGAGTACTCCAGTGTATATATAAAAATATATCTTTTTCTTGCACTGTCAAAAACAGAACAGTAGAACATAGAATCCATTCAAGTTTCAGAAATTCTCTGAAAGAAAAATTAATTCTATGTTTCATAATAAATATGATACACGAAATGGATTAGAATATTTCACTATTCTATCTTTTCTCTTTTTTTTTAATTTATGCGTTCATCCAAAATCGCCTTATATTGTCTAACAACATTTCTAATATAGGATAGTCACCAATCTTATTCTATTTTCAACATATATGAATCGAGGTATTTGTCATCATACTTAAGAACATATCTAAAAATAAAAATATGTTTATAAAAATCTATGGATGTATATTGCAAAAGTGATGTTTCGTTGGTTCTTACCTTATTCTAATCGTTTGTGTATGTGTAAAAAGAAAAAGCAAAAGAAAAAGAAGCATGTCATCATCATGTCAAAAGATTTTTAAATGCGCGCACGCGTGCACTTTCAAGGAACAATTCTGGATGATTTGTCATCATCGCACATGCATAGGCATACTGACGGACAGACACATAGAACTAAACATTGAGGTTAGACTAACTTGATCTTTCTCGTTCTTATCTTTGAGTGGTTCTAGGTGGCAAAAAAAAACTATAATGTAGATGTCAATGAGAATAGATCAACAAACGATCCCCAGAGATATTGCGTCGATCGATCCGACAACTGAAACGAGTAATCATATGAAAATAATTCGATAAACAGACACGATATGTTTTAAATTTATTATAGCAATAAATTCAAAATAGACAGACAACAATTGTAAATTACTACAAATCACCAATATAATAGATGAATTCATAAATAAATGATGATAACCATATAGTTACCATCTGGTAATCTGTTAAACATAACAACATTATATTATATAGTGGTAGAGACAATAGTTATCGAAGTACGCGCAATAGATTTCTATTTTTTTTTCTGTGTCCTTCAAAAAACAAAGACCAACGAGCACAACACAAAAATCGGTTGCGTGTCCTTCTTGTGTGTGTTATTTTTTTCCTTCTTTTTCTACTGATGTTCCTTCATCTTCATCGACATGTTCTTCTCTTCTTCTTCGTCGTTTTCTTCTGCTTTTTCTACTTCTTCAGCTTCGACTTCAGTATCGGCTTCTTCTCTACTCTACTACTATACTAGATCTTTTGCGTTTCTGCTACTACCCACCACCATCACCATTTGCTCAGCCATTCATTCACTAATGTGCAATTCTCTTCACGTCTAACTATCAAACAATGAGCAGTAATAACAAATAAAATAGTCTAACACATTCTTCTTATTCCTCTTCTCTTTTCTGATCTCATATCTTGAACATTTCATGTTCTATTTCTCTTTCTCTCTCTCAATCATTGTTATTCTACGCTCTGTTGTAACATTCGTGTAATAAATCAGTTAAATATTCGAATCAACAAGGAGAAAATATTATAAAAGAGAAATGATGTACGATCGAATCAATGACTAACAAGTCAGTTTATAAGTATCCTTTTACATACACTATATTATGCGTAGGAGTAAGAAAAATAGAATAAAACTAGAAGGGTCTATTCACACGCGCATACACAAATTGAATAAAAAAAAATGCACGCGTGCGTCCATCATGCTGTATTTTAAGTTCTTATTTATATATAATCAAGAACGTGAACAGTATTTTATCCTTGAACGTTATTGAAAGTAATTGATTTGAGATAAGCATATGCTATGAAAGCAATCATTTTTATTAATACTAATATAACAATCCTAATCATGAATAAATAGTTAGATGAACTATAAAAACAATAACAAAAATAAAATCACCGTTCATGTTACCTGTGTTTATTTGATACATTTACAGAATGTTACAAAAGTTTTGAACGGTTAATAATTCCAAATAACTTGAGTACTAATCAAGTTTAATTAAAAGTCTTTTTCCTTATTTCTAATAGGAGACTCGTAAATATTGATTCTTAAAAACCAAGTTCATCAACAATATAATTAATGTCACATTTTTGGTTTTTAAAAATTACATTTTTTCTGATTCTACCAACCATAAGTATCATTGTAGTTCCAAAATCTAATTGAGCTCTTATGATTATTATGAATTTTTTATCATTTAAAAACCTTTTTACAGTAGTTTTCTCAACATTTGTTTTGATATATTCTTACGAAAAGGAAGTACAACACTTAATTGTAATATAATCATAAGTTAAAAAACAGTTCAAGAAATTCATTAACATGGTTATAAAAGTTTAAATGGTTTTGAAACATGTCAAACAAATGATTAAAAAGCAATAATAAAAAATCTACATGATTTGAAGTCCATAATCACAATAGAAATTCTAGTAAACATTGAAAAAAGCCTAATTCTTAAATTGTAGCCGAAAGGGTTACATTTACTATACTGTTGATGAACGCTGTCTTAACGAATTAAAATTTAGTACTCTTCTATCTCAAATAGCAAAAAAAAAAGATTTTGATTAAGTTTGATCAGTAGCGAAGTTACTTATATTTATTAAGTAATCATGACTTTTGGGGTATGTTGTAGAAAGAAATATTTCGCGGCAATCAGAAAACAAGTATCAACACAAATTCATGTTTGCTTCAAACACCTAAACATTTCATTTGCGCACCCTTGACAAACATATCATGATACAATAAATGTTTTAATCGAAAACGATGCTCTCGTCGTTATTGTTCTGTTTTCTAGATTCCACTATTATCCTCTCTGAATCGTTTCTATAAATATGTACATGTAAACAACAAAATAATAGCGAATAGTCAAGTATCAAACTCGATTTGTTGCACACAATGACAAGAACGATAATCTATTCCCTAATTAGATACATGCAATAACAATAGAAACTATATGATGATAATACTAGCTATGTTGAAAGAAGACAAAATACATCAGTATTTATGTACTGTTTATTAAATCGAATTAGAACGCTTGAGTGGTCAAAATCATTGAGTTATGTTCATAAGGATGCTCATGAACTTTCTTCATAAAAATAACGTTCTATGAATGTCATTGGTTTTAGAAATTGATTTTCATCAGAGCAAACTTCCTTGATTAAAGTTTGTTGTTTTTTTTTCCAATTAATTGTGTACATTCGTATCAAATGATACGATAATTCTATCATCAATTGTCATTTCATAAATATGACAACAACTTTAATAGACATAAATGAATCAGTTACAAAGTCAACTTAATATTTTAATAAATAATTAAGACTTGATCAACAGATTTTTAATTTCATGCTTGAGGTGTAGTAATTTTAAAAAAGTTATTAGAACGAATTTATTATATAACTAACCTTTAAGTAGATTTTAATTCATATTGTAGAAAATGTAAACAAGTATGTTGAGATCATTATGACATGTTGTAGTTTTCATACTACTAATGTAGGTATCATGAGTAGTCACATATTTTTCGAGGAAGTTAATTAAAATGAAGACTGCTTTTTTTTTGAAGTGTTAAATAATCGAGAAATATTAATTCGTAATTTATATTTTATGACATCAGCGCTTCTTTTTTTGTTGGTTATCGTGATAGAAAATTATTAATTTTGACTTAAATTTATTTGTTAGTGAATGTCATAAATATTCGAGGACAAAAGGTCATATTGTTATTCTCTTGGGTCCTAATTTATAATATAATATATTTATAGTATGAAACATGCAATCATGAATTTTTAGTAACATCCTATTCTGACGATAGAAGACATGACTTGGATAAATGATACGACAGAAGTAATCGGTGACTCCTGCCATTAATTGATTTTTCACAGAATCAGAACTTTAATTTGTATATTTACATCAAACTATGTCTACTTTCCAGAATTTTGAAGTGAAAAATCTTAAAAGATTAAGGTCAACTTTATTTATGAATTTTTAACATTTTAAAAATATCTTCCTCAATCCTCACGATCGTTTTGTTTTTTTTACAAAAAATTTTGAACTAGTTCACCCATAACTTTTGCTGTAAAAGAAACGAATCATAAAATTACATACAACGTTTTTTTCATAGAAACCATCTTAAAGAAAAAAAAAACGATTTCATTGTGAAAGATTTGTCAATTGAAAATTTACTAATCAAAAATTATATACTTTTCAATAAATAATAAATATTGATTGAGATTATCAGTATGCGAATTTCAATCTATTCAAAACTATTCCATAGATGTAAAATCAATATCTTGAATGGTAACATATTTTCGAAAACTTCTTGAGTTTCATCGAATAAGAATATACACATGTTCGAATAAAGCATAAAAAAAATCATGACGATGAAAAATTCCAATAGATTGCGACATCTTGTTCATAGCATGATGAGGATGATTGTCAACGACACCGCACAGTGAAAAATATGGTGTTATATTATTCTCAAATTTCTGTTATCGAAAAATGATTTGAGTCATCCAAAAGAAAATAAAAGTTTATAAGAAAAACTGATAAATGGCTACTGCTGGTCGGAATAATTCAAATCGAATGGATCGTTTGACAACATGTCCTATTTGTTTGGATAAATTTCGTATTCCAAAAGTTTTGCCATGTATGCATACCTTTTGTTTAACACCATGTTTAACAAATTTGGTTGATCCACGAGCACGTTCATTACGTTGTCCTGAATGTCGTCGAGAACATCAAATCCCATCAGGTTTGAAAGAAAAGATTTTTCTATGTGCTTTTAATTAAAATTTTTATTATCAGGTGGAGTTCAAGCTTTTCCTTCTAATTTAACAATGATTGGATTTCTTGATATTCAACCATCAACAATTATCAATCTTCCTGATCGATGCTCTCGTTGTAAAGAACAAAAACAAAGTATGATAAATCAGAAAATAATCTCTATTGAAAAGAAAGAACTATTTGTATTTTATTAATTTTTTTCAAAGCTCTAATAAAATGCCATGATTGTTCAAATTTTTTCTGTTCCGATTGTCGTGAACCACATTTACGTGAAACATTTTATAATATAAGTTCATCAGTTAGTCACCTTCGTCGTACATTACCAAGATTAAGTGATAAAATTTCATCTTATGAACAACGAGTTAATAGTGTTAAAACTAATTATGAACAAATTCGACGAGATATAATATCAACAATAGCTGCTTTAATTGATGAATTAAAACATCGTGAAGCATCATTACTTACTGAAGCTGAAGTTTATATGCAATCACAATTGAGGTATATGAAAATGATTGATATCTATTGTAGATGTTCTACGATATTTCTTTTTTTTCTTAGAGCGTTTCGTATACAACAAGAAACTGCTGAAGTTGAATTAGCAAGTGTAGCAAGTTTTTGTGAATCGGTTGGAACATCATATCCGAAGTAAAAAAAAAAAAGAATCAACAATTTTATTTGAACTATTTATGATTTGTTTTATTTATTTTAATAAGTGGACAATTAATTACGGATGTAGATTTAGCAAATATACGAACACAATCTGATCTTTATGCACAACAAATTGATGCTTTGCAAGCACAAATACCATCTGATGTACAGAAGGTGAGCAGGTAATGAATAAGGTCATATGTATGATTTAAAATATATCTATCTATTATTGACAAAATTATCCAGTTACGATTTACATTTAATGATCAAGCAGCTATTTCTTCCGCTATACAAAATTTTGGTCGATTGATTGATGGATCTCAAGGACAACCACAACAACAACAACAACAACAACAGCAGCAGCAGCAACAACAACAACAATCTCAAACTTCAACAGGTCAAGTTGTTCGATCTCAACAACAACCACAATTTTCTACAGCACCATACCCGCACGCTGCAACACAATATGCAACGCCACCACGAAATCCATTAAATAGTCAGGCACGATCTCAAAATGATCAATGTAAGTCTATGAGTAAAAATAATTGATGGATTGCTTAGTTATTAAATCCTTTAGATCGACATTTGGAAAATCTTTTTAATTCTCGTGATTCTGCAACATCACAAACTCCTTTACTATCTCAGACTATTTCTTATCGTCCAACACAACTCAATACTCCACGAAATACTGATAATGCATTTGCTGATCTCAGTTTAACAGTACCTGCTCGGACCAATACATCGTCCTATACAGCTTCATGGGATCCACAATCAACTCGTCGTTCTACATCTAATGTTCAGTCAACATCTATATTTGGCTCAAATCCATTTGCAGCCAGTAATTCTCGACAAGCTCAACAATCAACTGTTCCGCCAGCAGAATCATCACCACAACGTAATTATGTAACAAGCACAACCGCAGCACGATCACTCGAAGGAGATGATCGACCAATCTTTGGTGGTAGCGGAGGTCGTGGTGGAGGAGGAGGTGTTGGTGCTGCAAGAGGAAGACGTCGAGCTTCTACTATGGTACCGATTCAAGAACAACAACAATTAACGAACGGTTTACAACGACGTGGTACATTTATACTTGATCAGCCTAGTGTTCCTAATTTACCACAATCCGGTGCTCAAAGACCACGTGATACAGTAATTGTTCGAGAGCTTTATAATGTTCGACGACGAAATCGTGCTCGAACACCGGTGGCTTTTACTATAAATCTCAACGAAGAAACGCAATCGCCAGCATCCCAAGATACAGACAATAGCACTGGATAAAACATTAAATTTTTATTAGTTTATAAATTTCCGGTTTTTTTTCTACACGTTAGATATTTTGTATGCTTCCTGGATGGGTTGCTCACAGCTATATTTTCATTTATTTATTTATTTATAGTCTACCTTTTTATTTTATAAAAAATATAATTCACATATCAAAAATAGAAATAAAAATAAATTTCACTGGGATATAAGCGTTAATCTTTGTGGATAAGCAATTAAATCTTCTACTTTAATTTTATTAATCTAAAACAGTGCATTTTACATTAATCTTATTTCAAAATAATAATAAAAATTACTTACAATATTTTCATAAGTTTTAACTTGATTATTTAAATCAATAATTCGTTTCTGTAATTTAATATGTGTATGATAATGTTGTAATAATTGGCTATCGAATTGTTCAAGATGTTCATATGCATTTAATAATTTTATATGTAATTCTTGGTTTTCAATTGTTATTTCTTGAATAATTTCAATTTTCTGTTCAAGTATTATTTCAATGTAATTAGTTAATTGTCTTGAATATTAACGTAATTTATTTAATATTGTATTTTGATCATGAACAAGATTTTCAAGATAAGATAATGATTGATGCCGTTCTAGTTCAAGATTTTCAATTATTGTTCGATAATCTTGTTCACGTTTATTAAATATAACAAGAATTGCATTCATATTTTCTTCACGTGATCGTTCAAGACTTTGTTTAATACTTTTTAACATAATGTTCTAATGAAAGGAGAACGTTCTTATAGTTAATCTTTTGTGTAACAAGCAAATAGCGAGCTTCAGAAACTGTATAAGATTTATCAGATATCATAGAATCAATCAGGTTTAATATTTCGAATCGTGCGTAATTCCAGAAATTTCAAGATCATATAAGCCTTCTTCGATATGCATCACTCTCTTTACATTCCTATGAAGTAGTACTATTTACTTTTATATACTTAGGATCGATAAATAGATAATAAAGAATCCTATAGAAAAAAAAACAATACTATTGAACTAAAAAAAGAACCTCACCAGCTGCCTCCGTTCTAATTTCAAAGATTTTTTCTCTATAGATACTTCATAGTGTTATAGTAAAACTTCTAAAAGCATTCAAGTTCCTATTGATATTTGACTGAGCTATCGACTTTTTAATGTCTATTTTCTAGAGAGTGCAAATTTTTAGAAAACTTATATTTTTGAATTTCAATTTGACACTTCACACACATATAGAGAATCCAAGTAGACTAGCTTGCATGAAAAAATTCGGAAGCTTCCAAAAATTACATGTTACATATACTATCCATTGAAAATTGTTTGCATCTTGCAAGTCTGATATTTTGAAGAAGCTTTGTTCAAAGTTTTTGAATTCTTTTGTGAACTTGTCTAGTTGATTCCTCTGTGTGTGAAAAGTTTTAGATCGAAATTCCAAAATACGAGTTTTCTGAAACTCTACGGTCTCTAAAAAATAGATATATTAACAAGCCAATAGTTTGGTCCAATATCAATAGAATGTAATGTCCTTTTAAAGGTTTTATTGAAGCATTCGATAGTATTTATAGATACAAAAATCATTCTAATCGGGAGGGGACTTTCTTGTCAGAGGAAAACAGCAACTTCGTTCGTACTTCTTGTGTTAAACGATTTATTTCTTTTGTTAAATCGAGACATTGTTTCTTGGATTGAAGTAATTCACTTTCAGTGTCATTAAGACGATTTTGTGTTGAACTAAGTTGATAACGAAGTTGAAGTAAATCCTAATCGAAAGATATTTTTCTCTCTTCTTTTGTTTTATATTTATTTTTACGTGGTTACTTTGTAACAGTAATTTCTCAAAATCTGATCGAATTTGTATGGTATTACTATTAGCTTGATCACGTTCACTTATTGATTTTTGAATTGAATGTTTAATAGAATCTGTCGTCTAAAAAAAGAAAAATAATTCTTTTAATTAATATAAGATATGAAATTAAAGAAAGATCATTCACCTGACTTAAATCAATTTCTTGTCGTTAAAAACGTTCCTTCCATACATCTATGTCGGTTGCTAACGATATTTTTTCTCGAGTTAATCGATCAATGGTTAATTCATATTGTGTACATTGTTCTTCGATTTGTCTTATCTGAACATATATGAAGATTCTTTTGTTTTGGGTTTAATTTATCCAATTAGTTATTTTTTCAGTATTTTCTTTTAATTGATCTTGATATATGACTTCAATATTTTGTTTTTCATTAATAATCTTGTCATTTATTTCATCTAGGAATTTTTTTAGTCTCTTTTGAGTTTCAACAAGTTCAATTTTAATTTGATCACGTTCAACAATAGCCTAGTTGAAAATAAGAAAAAAAAATAGAAATTTAATAGCAAATAATTTACTTCTACTCTTTCAAATTTATTTTGTTCAGTTATGGCAAGAGATTCTTTTAATTTATTTAATATTTCTTGTTCTTTAGCTTCTATTTGTTCAAGTTTTACTTGGATTTTTTGTAATTTAAGTTTATTAGTTTCATTTTCTCTATGAATAAATAGACACATATTCATTTGCTTTTTTTTTAAATATATTGTTTTAGCTTGTTGGTCATTTTATTGAACCACATTGTCTTAATCCAACATTTCTTTGTGATCATCCACAAATCATGAGTCCATTGGCAAAATAGTATGAAAAATTTTCTTGTTCTATTTTCTATAAACATGATTATCTCATTTTATCGATATTTTATTATATTTATTTTCTTTTGTCATGCTTATTTTAGTCATCGTTCTATACCTGGTTTAACAGAACGTTTTGAATTATTTGTTTGTTATAAAGAATTATGTAATGCATATACTGAATTGAATAATCCACTTGTACAATGTGAAATGTTTAAATTACAACCAAAAGTAAATATTATTATGTTTCTAAAACTTGAACAATTAATTTTGATAAATAATAAATAATTTTTTTTTAAGAATAAACTAGTTGGTGATGAAGAAGCTCAAACAATTGATGAAAATTATTGTAAAGTACTTGAATATGGTTTACCTTCAACTGGAGGTTGGGGTATAGGAATTGATCGTTTAACAATGATTTTAACAAATAGTAACAATATTAAAGTAAGTTATATATAATTTATCAGTTATTTATTATTAATATAAATATAAATACAATAGTAATCAAAATTATCTTGTTCTTTTTTTTATAAAAGCATACTTAATCATACTATTCTTTCATTATGATTTTCTTTGAAATTATTATATATTCTACTTCTAATAGATCATTGTTTTTTTTTTACATTTTGATATTTCATCATAAAAATTTTATAAATTCAATCTAGAAATAATATTTTTCTTCATTTGAAATTTTCAAATTATGATTTTCCTTTTACTAGATTTCTATTGTAACTAGAAAAAACAAACTAATAATTATTCAAAATATAGTTTAAAATTTAGTTCAATTGTAATGAAAAATCGAATCATAATAGATCCATCTAATAGGAATATACATCTTCGTCTAATGATTAGAAAAAAGTTCTTTAGGACTCGAATTCGAATTCAAACTATTTTTTTTTTCTTTAACTTAGATTTTGATTCCAATTTTTTTTTATTTCAAGTAATAAATCTCTTTTCAATTTAGATTTTATATGTATAAGGTAAATCCTAATAAGATACAAAAAGTTCGAAACTTCACGAAATATTAAAAGAAAACATTTTCTTTTTTTTTTAAGATGAAAATTTTCAAGACATTCTAATCATAAATAGATCTATTTGTGGATTAAATTTCAGGTTAAAGTACTATCATTCAATTTATTTGTACATACGATGTTATAATTTTAAATTTATATAGAATTGTGCTAATTTTTGAGATAAGATCTAAGAATATTCACTTTTTTCGAGCTTTTCATATCTCACTAGAGTTTATTTTATACATAGAATCTAAACTGAAAAATGATTTATCATTTGAAATAACTCTTTTCTAAAAATAGATCATGAACAAATCATTTCAATGTGTAATAATAAATAATCTTCTAAAGATCAACAAAGAGAATATTGTTTGAAAAGTTGTTTTTTTTTTTAAATTATTGAAACTTATTTAAAAAGATATCATTGATAAGAAAATTTACAAATCCAATTACAAATATCAAAAGAAATCAAACTTGGAATGGATTTGACCTATTCTTCTTTTTTTTTCTCAGATTTGTACTCTGATTTGAAACCTTCGAACTTATCATCCACGTCTAATATTGACGTATTATTATTAAAACTACAATGAAATATGTGATACTTTTTGTTGTAAAACTTGAATAATTAACAATAGAAAGATGAATTATGTTTGATATTTTCATGTTAAACATACGATCTTCTCTTATTTATGAAGATTTTTAGATTTTCTAGTTAGAAATACGTATTCTCATGAAGTTCAATCATATTTACATTGACTTTTGTCATCTATTTTGAAATTCTATTTAAATGAAAAAATTACAAAAAAACAAACATGAGAAGATTTTATATTTATCATCTTAAAATTATTTATGAAATGTTAACATCATAGTATTTTCCACATTAATATTATTCATTGAATTTCTTTTTTGAATCCTTTTATAGTCATTTTTATAGCAAATAAAAGTATTCAAACAAGATTTTCATTATTAGTTATATAGTACAATTCATATAGACTATATAACTCCTGTTGCAAAAGTCTTGAGACAAAATGTTTATTGAACTTTCGGTCACTTAGAAAGAAGTTGAGAAAATGAAAAGTAGTCAGTTAGAATCGGAATTTGGTGCTCTCTCTAAATATGTATTCAGAATTCTTTTTCTGACTTGAAATTGATTTATTGAGAGCAAATCTTTGATGGAGACCAAAAATGACGTTTGTACAGAATATTTCATATAGTTTATTTTTGTATTTTCATTAAAAGTACCTCAATTCAAATTAAAGGAAAGTGTTTTTCTATGATTCGGCTAAAATGCCTTTTGATGATTCGGTGAAGATTCTTGCTGATGATTCGATTAGAATTCCAATTGATGATTCCGTTAAAATTCTTACTGGTGATTCGGCTATGGCAACTGGTGTTTTGGCTATGGCAAGTGGTGGTTCGGCTATAGCAAGTGACGATTCGGCTGTAGCAACTGGTTATTATGTACCTGAAGACGATTTGTGGTTTGGAATGGACATTACAGCCTGGAAATCTTTAACGATAGATGATAAAGTAAGATGAAATGACGATGGTTTTTGTATTAAAAAATTTATGTATAGATCGAAGAAAAGCACACAATTATTGAAGGTCTCAAAAGTGAAATAAAAGAAGCAAGTTCAAAAAGAAAATCTGTATCAGGTGTTAAGGCCAAATTAGCTGTTGAAAAAGAAGGATTACAGAAGTTATTAGAACGAAAAGGTAAAAAAATATGATTAACTAAACTGTTTTAAATATTACGTTTTAGAAAAAGATCGTCTTAAAAACAAAGAAAATAATGTTCGATAATGGCAGTCATGTTATCAAAAATTCTTTCTTTTGTAAATCTTTCTTCTGTTAAAGTTTTTTTTTCTTCTATGTTAAATCTTTTCTGCTAAATAAAACAACAATCATTATTCAAGTATAAAAATAACAGAATAATTGTTAGGAAACAAAATATTTGGCTACTTTAGTTTTCAAAATACTTTGTTAATGAAAAAAAATGATAATCAATATAAATGCTGACACAACATCCGTAGAAAAAATGATACGAAATAATCGAAATAAACTTGTTTGTAACAAAAGATGTTTATCAATTCTGTAGAATTGGTTGTTTTCTTAAGAAGAAAAAGAAAAAATATTTATCAGCGAATTTTTGGACTATCCATCGACGGTATATAATTTTTTCACGCGGTCATCCATTCATTTTTTTGTTCGATGATGGAAATAGATACAAAAAAAAGGTTAGATATATATGTATATATGCATCGTAAACAGAGCGTTTGTTACAGTCAGTATGCATCAGTCAAACGTTAATCTTCTTGATCTACCTAATGAAATATTATTCATTATTTTACAGAAACTTAACAATATGGATGTTCTCTATTCATTATTGGATGTTGATAATCAACGGCTTGATATGATAGTACAAGAAAAAACATTCACTAATACTCTCAATTTTGTATTAACAATGATAACCGATGATGTTTTGTCGATTGCTGATTCAATACTTGATCGATTTTGCATTAGTATACTTCCAAAAATTAATTATAATGTTAAATCACTTATTCTTGAATCAGAATCTATGGAACGTATTCTTCTTGCTACTGATTATCCTAATCTAACTGAACTTAAACTCTACAATGTTAACGATCATATTGTTTCACGTTATTTTAGAGGTAAGAAACTTCAATGGAAATGTGAGAATAGATATAAATGGAAACGTTATATACAGTACACAATATCTAATTATTCTCTATTTAGATGAGTCACCATTTCGTCGTATTTTTCAAGAACAAATTACCGATCTTATTCTTGTATATAACAGAGATACTGGCATGCTACTAATGAATCCTAACACAAAATATGTGTATGAATATACACTGAAACTTTTTGAAAATCTAAAACATTTCACTGTAATTGGATGTGTTCAACTTTTATCTATTCATGATATAGCTTCGACTACATGGTTATCATTAAATCTTAACAAATTATGTGTTGATGTTTGTGGCTTTGAAGATTGTCTTGCTTTACTTGATGGTCGTCTCAAACAATTGACTACATTTATTGTTAACATTGATTGTCCGGAAGATGATTTGTCAACTATTTACAATATAGTGAGTTTATGTATTATTAGATGGTTTTTGTTTTTTAATTTAAAATATTTGAGTTATCTATCTGATCAATAGTCGATGATTTTCTGTATATGCAAAGTTTCAAAAATCATTTATTCGTCTAAACTTTTATCTCTATAATCAATAATAATATACTTAGAAATATTGATTTGTTTTTAGGATGATCTACCTAATATGAAATGTTTCTCATTAACATCTCGTTGTTCAACTAGTGAATATGATACTCGAGTTTTGCCTCTTCTTCATCGTATGAGAAAACTTGAAGAATTAACTTTGAATATTATTAACGACGAACGAACTACATTTATCGATGGTACTCAAATTAATGATAAAATTCTTGTACATATGCCATGTCTTCGTAAATTTATTTTTCATATCAGTGTTGAAGTTGAATTACATCATTTAACTCATTATTCATCGAATGAAGATATTCAACGAACTTTTATCAACATAGGATATCAACAAGTATGCTGTATACTAAACTACAGCATTAATAGTGTCATATGTCATGTTTTTTCACTACCGTTCGCGTTTGATTATCTCGGAGATATTGGCAATACATTTCCACCAATAGACTTCAGTCGTGTTAGAGAGTTGGCGGTATACGATAAAATTCCGTTCAAACATGAATTTTTTATCCGAATCGCATGCTTTTTTCCTGTGCTTAAAAAATTACGTGTTATTAATTTCGACTCAGAGTCACAAATGAGAGACAATTCGGTCTCTAACAATAATGAATTGTATTCAATTGTTGAATATCCAAATCTTTTTTCGCTTTGTCTACAATGGAGTCATATTGATTATGTCGAGCAGTTTCTCAATGAGACAAAAACGCATTTACCACATTTAACTGAATTAATGGTCCGTTATAATGAATTAAGATTTGTAACAAAAAACTTTACCAGAGATGCAACACGACGCAATTGTGCCCAGGTGAAACAATTAATTATTGACAAAACAATAGTGCATTCTAAACACTTCTATAATTATTTTCCTCTCTTGTAATCGTATTTTTGTTATCATTAGATCAACAGAATAAATAATAGATAGTTTTCAACAGTAATTACTTTATTACTTTATTACCTAATTCACGATATGTTTGAGAAATAAATTCTAATGTTATATTCATTACTTTTTCGTTAATCATATTATCTATATACTATTTACTTTGTTTTTCTCTTTCAATTGATTTTGAGACCAGAAAGATCTTTAACAATTGCATATGATCATATCTTGATCATTATTATAAGCAAAATAAGTTTGTTTTTATTAAGCTGATCGTCTGAATTCAACATCGTTATTCTGAAACCAAATATTTTGCAGTACAGTTAATATTTCAACTAATCTATATAACTACGAAGATCAATTGGAAGACTAGCATTTTTAACAATTAATGAATGTTGTGGTGGAATTGTTGGAGATGATGAACGAGTATAAGTAAGAAAAAGAAGCGATTGTGGCTAATTTGTATCATCGAAAAGTATCGAGAACGAGTAGCTGTTCTTTACAAATAAAAGAGCGTCACATTTAGTTTCAAATAAAGCGGCACTAATAAGAAATAGAAAATAATTCTACTGAAAATATTTTCTTTCATAGCTGTTCTTCATATAGAAATGCTCTCATTCTAGAATTCATCAGTTATACATCAGTTAAAGTATTTAGAACATTAATAATAGTAATCTTTACATTATCGAAAAAGAAACTAAATGATGATATAACAATGAAATGAAACGTTTATGTTTCAACTGCAGATACGTAACGAAAATAAGTCTTCTGACTAATTTTTTTTAAACTATGTATATTCGAAAAATAATTCGAAAGAATTCAAATCAAAACCAAGGATCTCAATAAACTGAGAATATTAAGTGTAACTGACTTATATTTGATATTCTAAAATTAGCAAAAATGAAATCAAGTAATTATAAGATATTTAAAAAAAGAAAAATGTAAAATACTAGAAAACTGACTCAATCGGTAAAAATAAAGATTCAAAATAAAATTTGCTTGAGTAAATAGAAAATGAAACATAGTTCAACCTAGGGTGTGGGTGTGGGTGTGAATTCAGGTCAGACTCATATCCATTCACACCCACACCCTCTTTCCAATATGATATTTGGAAAGAAAAGCTACTCGTTATATAAAAATAACAAATAGTTGACATGACAGTTGTCGATTGTCTGTCATGAAATAGGCATTTTACTTTATCAACATTTTGCTTCTAGAAAGTTTTTAATTATCAAAATGTAATCAGTATTTTGAATTTTCTATTTGTATGACTTCAGTTCTATTGAATAATTATTGAAAGAGAAGTAACTCAGTTTATAAGATCTCTCAAAAAAGTTGTCTATCATTGTATGAAGAACGAAAAAAATCATTCATAAATTGAGGATTATTTTCAGGTTTCTCTCAAATAATCTATATGTAGTGTATGTATCAATCATCTCTCGTTCTCATTGAGACGTACGCGTGGCTTATAATATAATTAGCTTTTTTGGTTGATTGAAACTTCAACAAGCTTCTCTTGACGAAACAGGATTTCTGTTATAATCAAGGAAATCCTATATAAGATCTTTCTTTCAAATTTCCACATATTCCTCTACTTTCATAAGATGATGGTACAAAAGCAAATGAAAAAATGTTAAACATCATTATTCATCACTTTATGTAGAAACAAGGGTGTGTGTCACTTGACATTTTTCTTTTCGAGAATTTTACATAATAATATTAGTATATTTTTCATTATCTGTACTGATATATTGACCACATGGAAGAGGAACTCCACATTTGAGGCAATTCATACGATCATTAGGTGCATACCAAAGAGATTCATACATGTTTAATTTTTCTCTATAGTTACAATAAATTATATTCATTGCTTTTATTCAAAATAAATATTTATACTTAGCGTCTTTCAATTCAATTTCTAGACTACGCATCTTTCTCGTGTAAAGATCGAGAATTTGTGACTTGAGAAAAATTAAAATTAAAATGAATTAAGATCATCTTCTCTTCATAACTATACTTCTTTATTAGTCCTCGGTCGTTCGTCATCTATGTTAATTAAACGAAGCATATCTGATATAAATGTACTTCGAATTTCCTCATGTAATCGATTATTTTCTTCAATTAATGTAATAACATGTGATTGGAGTCTGATATTATCATCCTATTGCAAAATAAACGTAATCATAGAGAAAATATCGTAATATTTTATTTCATTTATATACACAAGTATATTTTCTTCATGTTCGAATACTTACATGTAATAAATCATTTTCAAATCTAAGCCTATGACTTACTTCATCGGCTGCTTGCACCAGAAAATAGTTCATTTAATGTCGGTACATCACTAGAAGTCTAGGTAAACATGAATAGATTCGTCTATGTTAATAATTTATTGACTGATTATTACTTTTGATGAACTTGACCAAGGAGATGATGGTGAAAGCGAACAGGCATTGTCTAATTGTGCAAGAAGGTCGCGAAGTTTATCTGCAGCAGTAAGCGATTTTACCAGATTATTTTGAGAAATGAGATAAGCTACTGAATAGTTAGAATATGGTACCTACTGGAACTAATGGATGCCATGTTTGTCGCAGAAACAATAGAGGCAATTGAGAAATAGCAATAATCAATTTTGATTCATCAAAACATTGTAATTTAGTTCTTGTTGTTCTCTTCTTTTCCTTTCAGATCTCGAATTTGAAAAGAAATTTCGTAAATGGACATGATACATGCTATTTCAATTGTTTCCTGGGTTATGAAACAGAGCTATAGTTTACGTTAATATTCTTGCTATTAATTTGCATTGGTTTTGATGAGTTGATTGTCAGTAAGATAATCAATAAATAAAAGTGATATAAAACACAGTGAAGATGTCACTATAGCAAGCAATAATCATTAAATATAGTTATCTATTTTGATAAATGATCCAGTTCATAGATGACAAAATGTGCTTTCAGATGATTAAAACGAACAAAATTTCTATTCACTTTTATTATTTTGAATACAAACTCAAAAAGAACGAGAACTTTCCTCACATTCGCTCTGTGAACATCTCATGTAGTAGAAGCGATTCACTACATCCGATTATGGTTACTAGAAACATAAGTCATAAGTATAAGCAAAAGTTTTCTATAAGTATCGGAGACATAATTTTAAAGTTTTACTCTATAGATTAAAAAAAACTTTATTAAATAGCAAGACATCCCTAATATTTTTACATCTATTTTCTTTTCAGTTTAGAATTCATAATACCACTCAACGTGGAACGACACTGTTGTGCATGACATTTTCGCGCGCGTCACTTGCACAGCAAAACGCTTTCGCGCATGACTCTATGGCTTCGACACTTACGCGTAAAGTGCATTTTTTTTCTTTTCTGTTTATGTTAATTCAATCATTCTCTCAAAATTTCAATAAGTGTTCTGTTCCTTTATCACAGGATTTATTAAATTGATCAGTATGAATGAAAAAAGCTCTATGGGTTCAAGTGTCGATGGTGTGACTGTGAGGTGGTGTGGGTAGTAAGCGTGTGAGTATTAATGTGAATGTTGGCCTTTATATGAACAGAAAACACTGATACATAACCACACTCACATTCACCTCACCCATATCCTTGGGGGAAGGAAGCAGACCGCTGCTCAATCGTGTTATTTTCAATAAAATTTTGCCAATGTTTTTGCGACTATCAGTTTCACGTTTCACATATCCTTCTATTCAAAAGGTTATGACGATCGTGAACTAGATAGAAAATGATTCAGAATTTTCTTGAGTGCATTTTAGCTCAGAAGTAGCAGATTTGTCTGTTTGAGTTCGTACCTCAAAGAAATCATACTAAAAATGCACAAAAATTGCCTTCAATTATTCCTGGACGACTAGTGCCAGAAGAACTTCTAATTTGGTTTTACTTCATGCTAAAAACTGCTACAGAAATATCATTGAAAAAGAATTTCAATTAAATCAATTTTACATGGACTGCCATGTCGTTTAGGAATTAGTTGTCTTCCACGGAAGCCCATCGAAATGATAATACTTTTTTCTTTTTGGTTCATGACACTTGTTATCGCTTTACTTGATCAATAGTGATAATTATAGTAGTCACGAGCCTTGAAAAAAAATTATCATTTCGATGGGCTTCGGTGGAAGACGATTTATTTCTACACGATATGGCAGCCCATGTAAATTGATTTAATTTGACTTCTTTTTCAGTGACACTTCTATAACAGCTTTTTAGCACGAGGCAATACCAAAGCAGAGATCCGTCTAACACTAGTCATCCGTGGGATAATTGAAAAGCTTGTTCTGCCTTTACTGTTTGAGATGCAACAATTAAAAAGTGGAATTGGCATCATCTGACATCCAAGAATAATTCATAGCAAAGTCTGAAGCAGCTACCAGCAACGGTATTTTATAAGAGAAATGAGCGCAAAACTAGTTTAAGCACTTCAAGTTAAGCAAAAAAAAGAAAACGTTAGAATCCATGCAAATGCAGGAAACCAAAAGTGAAAAATAGTGAACACCACTTTAAGCGTGTCTCAAAAGAGACTTAGTCGTTTTGCTCAAAATTCTAGTTGAAATTGGCAGAAACAGCTAAGGAACACAGTTATGTCTACGTTAAAGCGTCTGTTGCTCATGAGAGAAACCTCTTTGATAAAGACAGTTAAAGATGATTTTTTTATGTTTCGAGAACAAGCACGGTCAAGTCGTGTTACATAAGCAGAATTAACCTCAAAATTGATGTTGATTTTCGTATACTCTGATTTTTCATAGATAGGCATCTATCATTCGTTGAATTATACGAGAAGGGCATGAACTGTCTAAGCGCAATTTAAGCATGCACTGCTGATATATGTGTCACACAAATACTCAATGATAGTTAAATGGCAATCAGTACATTGAGTTGAATTTTGAACTAAATTTGTTTAATAGTTTTAAGACAGGCGCCATTATAGATTATCAAAAGACACCAATGGTCAACAATTTCGAATATTGTTTTTGTTAGAGAAAAAGCAGATAAGTACAAATTAATCTATTTGAATGATCTGCGAAAGAATAGGTCATACTTGAAATATAATCGTGTATTGCATAGGAATTTAACATATAGAATGACCGAAATATTACAAACCAGTTTACTTTTTAAACGGTTTCATAATGATAAGCATAAATTTTTGGAGATGTATTAGATCAGTATGGTAGAGTAATTTTATTTTTGGAAATTATTGTTTTATATTTTCTTACTATTCTCTATTTTATAGTACTTCTATCCTGAACAATATTATTCATTGCTCAAATAGTGATAATAAAAGCTTTGATTGCACATGAATTTCTATTCAATATACTACTACAAGAAATAATTTTCACAAATTCATCCTGTGAATACTGCGGGTTCTTGAAATCTTTCGATAAGTTTATATCATACATGTAGACAAAGAAACTTCTTCTCGTACGAATAAAACTAAACGATAGGTGAAGACCGTTTCAAAAATAAAAAGCAATCAATTAAGAGAGTATAAAAATATGACTTCTTTTTCTTTTGTAATAATAAAGATTTAATCATTAGTGGATTCAAAAAAAAAAGAGAAAGGCATCTTGTGAAATTGATTGTCTCAATTTTTTTACTTTCATTGTTAACGAATTCATCAATTGTAGCATTAGGAAAGTAGAACAAAAGAAGTATTTTCAATCTAGAACGTAAAAACGTTGCTTCTATCGTTTTATTATTCCCATCAATAAAACTTATTAATACTACGTGACAATAAAAGCATAGAAAAGACAAGGAAAAAAAACATTATATATATAAAGTTTATTGTGTTCCTGTCGGAAAATCTTTATCAATTACACTCCAATCAAGGTAGCTGTTAATACTACTTTCACCTCTTGATAATTCACTTTCATCACGTGCTGTCATATCACCACCAGCACTACTTCGTGCACTAACTCTTGTACCACCATATGTATTGGTATTCAATGCGCTAGATCGTCGATTTTGTAGTAA